AGACAACTTTTCTCCCAGTATGCAAAAGTTAACTAATTCCTTTAAGTTATGTATGATATAAAGTGTCAGAGATCTGAAGAAGTAATAGTCTCCTCCTTTTTAAAAAAAATTTAATCAGGCCTATTCTTACTATTATTGTATTTTCTTTGAACTACTCCAGAGTGTCTCCAAATTAGATCTTGGTCATAAGCCATGTTACAAAATCAAGTGAGGCTACTTCAGTCTGTTTTAGACTTATTTCGGTAACTATTTCATGAAAAGTTTCTCCTTTCTGGCTGAACTCTACCAATGAGTTTGCCAGTTTGGGAAAGAACTTTGAAAATAGCTCCAGGTAAGAACCCAGGTGTTTTGAAAGTTAGAGTGGAAAAGGATTACAGGAAGAGAACCCAGAGAAAATATTCCAGGTAAAGAAAAGTCAGAGGAACTGTTAATATTTTCAGCTTATCAAGATATACCAGTCAGGGTTATATTAGAAAAGAGAGAGCATGCTCAGTAATAAAGGGCAATTTATTTCATAAAGACTATTTGCAAAGGAATGCGTGGAGGGGAAACTCAGAACTAGAGCTGAGTTGTTATTGCCCTTTCACCTGAAAGTGCCCTTGTCAGAGGGGGACCTGACCTATTTCCCTCTCCCTCCTTAAATTCCACCAGAGTTCTCTGTTGGAAGAACCCAAAGAGAAGCAGATTGCACAAGAGCCTGTTGCTGCAGCTGGTTTGGGAAGTGCCTCCCAGAACAATAGGTGAAGCCAGGTGCACAGCACATCTGGAGGGAGAAAACTGAAGCTATCCTGCGCAGTAGTTTTATATTTTCTTTCGAAGACAGTATTAATAGTGTGACCTACTTGAGGGCAGATGCTGTTCACTCATCCGTAGTACACTATTTAAATGATTGTTGAATGAATGAACGGAGTTGTTCATTTCCTAACTTTATCCTACTTTGACTTAAAGTGGTTGACAATAACATTTTGATTCTATCTTGATTTAGGTCATGTGTTCTGAATAGTTACACTTTGCAAAGGTATGGTTTACTCACTCAAATAGATTAATATTCCTTTCTGTGTAATTCTCCTTTTAACAGTCTCATTGGTAAAGCTGCTAAACAAAGTTAGACTTCACTGTATTAATATCTTGAGTCTTTTCTTAATTATTGTTTATATAAGTATCTAGGTTTAGCTAGGCAACACGTTCATGATTTTTTAGCACTTTTCAGTGACTATTAAATTTAACTCTGCTATTTTTCCTTTTGCCTCAAGTCTCATTGGCCAGCAAATGGGTAAGCTGGTTAATTTAGGGAACCCACATGACTTAAGACTCTTCAGTAGCTTTAAAAGAAGGTTTACATTTAATGTCAGCGTTCCTCTAACTGTTTAGAGGTCAAAAGTCAGAATAGATAACGATTGTTGGCCACAAATGTTAACAAAGTTTTTCGGATAGTCAAATTGTCTTCCCTAATGATTTGAAGGAAGGGATAGAGAGCCAAATGCCACAGGTGACTAGTTGGGAGGTCCTTGGATTCTTGAAGTGCTGAGGTGTAAGAACAGAAGAAAATACACTAGAGGGAAGGAGAGTGAACCCCTTCTTGGTTATAGCTTTGCTGTTCTTCCTTGAGAGTTTTCAGGTTATGTGTTTGTGTTTGTGGGGTGCAGAGAAATAGGAAAACCTCAGGCTTCCTCAGCCATCAGTAGAAAGATGACTTTGTCCTTTGAAAAACAGAATTGGGTTCCTGAATTCATTTTGATTTTTCTGTGGTTAGCTTCCAATACTCCTCTTCTCTGAACACTTTTGTTAATGTGTTTGTGGCAGCTGCGTCTTATTCCCATGAAGCCAGTTGAGATTTTACACACTGTAAGTAGGTATGGAGTGTTGATTTAGTGTCTTTGCAAGTCACTTTCTGATTATAATTCTTGTAGGATATTTTATGATTCTATTTCCAGTATCCCAAAGGACAGAAAAGGCGTAGGCAGACTCACGTGTCTCCTTTCCATCATCCAGAATGCGTGCATTCTCTGCCTTCTTTAGTAGCCTGGTGCTGTTCACGTCTCTCCGTTAATGGTTCTCCGAGCTTAGGTTATGCCATCTCTGACTTGGGCTATGGACTTAACTAATTTTTGATTATGTCAAAGCCTGAAAGTATTTTCCTTAAATAGGATTTGGGTTTGTTTTTAACTTTTGTTTCTAGTTTCTTCACAACTCATAACCATTTAGGATTTTCCCTTTCTGCTTTTAGTACTGGGGTGAAGAAGTAAGGCTAATGGGGAAGCTAGCTGGTGGGTCTGCAGTTGAGTTTTTCACTACAACATGTTTTCTTTAGGGGGCAGGAACTTTTCTGCTCCTCAGTTGGACTGAGATACTTCAAATGGGGCATACACTTTTCTGTTTACCTCAGGCTTCATTGTTCTCTATTGTTGAACTGACCTTTGTGGGGGTATCTAGAATCTTTAAAGTTCTATCTCTCCCTGAACACTTAAAAAAAAAAAGGTCCTGTATTTCAGAATAATTATGTGTTTACATTTGCTTCAATTTAGCTACCTTCTCATGTAAATCAAATGATTCCTTATTCATTGGTTAAAAAATAACAAAATCAACAAATAAAATAGTGTTTTAGAGCACTGTGAGTTGTTTTTATTTGAGGTATTTTCATTTAATTCTTAGGATTATCACAGTAACCCCATGGCTGGGAGCTGATGATTTTTCTCCATATTATGGGTAGAAGGTAATAGCATAGTGATTAAGAATATAGGTGCTGAATTTGAACTTGGATTTTAGCTTTAGTAATTACTAACCTAGACTCAGCTAATAAACCTACTCAATCTCCTCATTTGTAAAATGGAGAGATATCTGTTTTATAAGGTTGGTTGAGAAGTAAATAACTCAGTCAATGCAACTAGAGCAGTACCTAGCATATAGTACATACATTTATTAGTGTTAATAGTATAGGAAGAAATGGAATCTCAAGGACGCAACACAATCTAGCTAAGGTCACAGCTTACAAGCAGGAGATTCTGGGTATTTGCTTCCAATTTTCTGAAGCATTCTGTGGAGCTGTCAATGGGGCTCATCCTTTCTTTCATCTTTTAACCTCCTTATCTTCATTTTCTTTGTGTTTCTTCCATTAGAACTGTTGAGTATTATCTGTTCAGATATGGGATTGCTCTGTTAGAATTTATCAGAAGAGGTAACAGCAAGGTATAGGGATGTCCCCTGCCCTGTGGATGGGGACACAAAGATGGCTCTTTTGGGGGTCTTTCTGAATTGTGTCCAGATAGTTTTGAGAAATTAACATTTTATTTCTATTAATTTTTTTTGCCACACATCAATTTTTGCTACACATCAAGAGTCTTTTTTTAAAAAAAATAAATTTACCCCTTCTCTCTTTTTTTTTAAATATGAAACACTTCATGAATTTGCATGTCATCCTTGTGCAGGGGCCATGCTAATCCTCTCTGTATCGTTCCAAGTTTAGTTTATGTGCTGCCAAAGCGAGCACTAAGTGACTTCTTAATGCTCTAGTTTATTTCCTCTTAAGAGGGAGAATTGGTGAGTCTCATTTGTTTTCTCATATCACTTTGAAGTAGTGAGAAAATGGGTTCCACTATCTATTTTGAAGGATGTCACTGAGGTTCACTGTGAAAGGAGCTCAGAGTTTAGGGGCAGGTGGATGAAGGTTCAGATCCTGAGCTTCCATTTTGTGTCTGTAAATGCCATTGTCCTCATCTGTATGACGGATAAGCAGAGAGTTGTTGGGGATGTGAAGGACAGTCTTTGTATTCTTGGCCACTCATGGCGCTCAGGAAATATAGCTGCTACTGCTGTAGAGGAGGAAGCTTTTCATTCTGGCTCCCAGTGACAGTTTGCTGGGCACCCGGTAATTCCTCACTGAATGCTGTGTGCTTCACCTGTGTGTGTCATTTCTCTACATTTTAAGTCCAAATGTTTGACCTTCTGCTTTCTAATTTGTTTTTTATGTGTCTGTTATGGACAGATCAGTGACTCTGTGTGTCAGTAGGCCATGTGCAATGCCCTTGACATCAAAATTCCAAATGTTCCTCATGTCACATGGCAGAGTGAATGTTAGTAAATGCACATGACCAATGAGAAACATGACACTTGAAATCTTTCAGATGGTGTGTGGGCCTCTATTCTCAGAAAGTAAAAACAGCAGGTGTTTATTGAGTATTTACTATGTGTTTGGCGTTGTGTGCAGCAGGGCAACAAAAGAAGGTGCACTTTATCTCTCACAGGACTTACAATTTTCTGTGGGAATAGAGTCTTGCTTCATTAATCAGTAGGAAGCCATTGAACATTCTTGAACAAATACTCAGATTTCAGTTTAGATTAGAACTATGTTCATTTGTTGGGCCTCATCATCGTGGTTGAAAGATGAGGTATGTGGTGAGAGGTTCTATTCTTACATTTCATGGATATGTCAGAGAGACCGCTTTACTTCTGCTTTTGGAACAGAAACTGTGATCCTACTTTGGCTTTGGGAAGACTGTGGAATAGTCCAGTGTCAGGAGACAAAGGAAGCTGAGGTGGACATGAACCAGTGCCCACATGAGATTTTCAGTGACACATTTAGAGAGTGATGGATTTTTTGTTGTTGTTTTTTTGGTGGGAGTGAGGTTTGAACTCAGAGCTTTGCACTTACAAAGCAGGCACTCTGTCACTTGAGCCACACCTCCAGTCCTGAGAGTGATGGAGTAAAAAGAAAGATTGGAGAAACTGCTTGTCCTGTGGAGTCTTTTAGGGAGAGCAAAAACAGCATGTGCAGACAGTACGTTATTTCACACCCATAGCAGAGTTGGTAATTGATCTTGTTATGTTTTCCTACTTGGCTCGCTGGTGATCTGGAGTCCTTAGCACATTCTTCTGGGTGGTTATTATTAATTGATTAGAGTTGGCACCAGAATTCAAGCCTACGTGTCATGTCTGGATGAAGAAATGGGTGAGAAATAGGATATGACTATAATCACAGCACCAATCAATTTTTACTTTTTCAGGTGGAACTTGCAGAAATCTGTGCCAAGAGTGAGCGTTATATTGGCACTGAAGGAGGAGGCATGGACCAGTCCATATCATTTCTTGCAGAAGAAGGAACTGTAGGTGGTATTGAGTTATTTGGAAATATCAACTGGGGAAAATTAACATGGAGAGGAAGGCCTGGAGATCCCCAACATGCTTGGTTGTGGGTAGCTTATTTCTGTAGGTTCTATTTAGGATATTTCTCAACTGCTTTGTAACTGCTTTGTTACCACTAGTTAATTTACTGTATTACATGTTGTTTGTTTCAACCTGAAGTGTCTGTAAACATAGCTCAAGTCTACTGCATTGTGAAGATGAGATTTTTCAATTCCTAGTTATTGGGACCTCCTTTCCTGCTCCTGTCTTCAGTCACTTCATCTTATGGTATTTTCATAATCTCGTGCTGGCTTTTAAACCCAAATGTTAGTCTTCTTACCAGTTCTATTCACAAACCCCTTTTTTTGTAATTTACTCTTCAGTATCATTTTCTCTGCAGACATTTTTTGGGGCTTCAGTGGTAGGAGGAAGAATGTTGACAGTCAGCCAGGACTGAATTCCTGAGCTGGAGGCTACTTCCCTTTGGCTACCAACTCCTCCAGGCAGGGTAGAGGTTTCGGTTGTTGCCCATAAACTACCCATTTCCAAAATAAGCAAGCATTTTTTAAGATCTTTTCTTAGTTTTGCATCAGATTCCTACAGGTTTGGCTATTTTCCAAGAACACCTGGATTCCTTCTTATTAAGAATATTTGTTGTTGATTCCTCTAAAACAAAGGCATGACGCATGAGGAAGTTCGGTTTAATACTAAGAAAACACTCTTGAGTTTTTGGGATGAGACCTGACAAGCCCTGTTGTTAGTGTAGATTAGGTAGAGCGTCTGAACAGAGCCTTAAGTTCTTTGGACTTGCAAAGTGCTTCACCATTGGACCCTTGCTGTGCCTTCCACCTTACCTCTCACTCCCTGAACTCTAAGCTCCAGACAAATTTCAAAACTCAAAGCTCCATTAACACCCTTATTATTTGCTGCCTCTGAACTTGTACAAGCTCTTTCTTCTTCTTGGCATCCTATTTAAGGAAAGAAACCCTGTGTCTGCCCTAGTTTTGTTCATCCTTTAGGATTCAGTTTAGAGTTCCCGTTCCCATCCATAGGAGACTACACTAAGCTCTGTCTGATCAGGTGCTTCAACTAAGTGTCTATATAGCATTCTGTTCTTCACTACCATTGTAACACTTGGAAATGTATTTTTCTGTCTACCTGACTGCTTTTTGCCTTCTACTGTAGACTCAGTGAGGGGAGGACAGCATCTGTCTCTACCTATGAGTTTTATCTTCAGTGCCTCGTATAGTGCCTGAATGTCAATAAGTAATATTTGAATGAATGAGTGCATTTTGAGGGAAGATTTTTGTTAGCTAAATAAGTGCATAGATATTTAAACATTTTCTCAATCCTAATAAAGTATAAATCACCCATTATTTTTCTTCCAATAGGCCAAGTTAATAGAATTCAGTCCTCTGAGGGCAACTGATGTGAAACTCCCAAGTGGAGCAGTATTTGTGATTGCCAACAGCTGTGTGGAAATGAATAAGGCAGCAACTTCCCATTTCAATATCAGGGTGATGGAGTGTCGCCTGGCTGCAAAGGTATGAGGTTGGCAAGTCAGTGAAGCTTGAAGTGGGCCTTTCTTGATGTTTTTCTATTCTCAGTATTTCTAGTTTTCCCCAGGTGAGGGGAATATTCTGACTGCAGCAGCATTCTAACTGAAGGCCTTTGGGTTGAGAGTAATCTGATTTCAAACAGGTAAACTAGCAGGTGCACCTTCTGCTTCCTGGCCCTTTGGATGTTATATGAACTTCACATCTGAGTCTTCTGGGAAGCGTTGAGGAGGATAGTGTTTATCAGTGAAGCACAGGCCATGTGGGTTAGGACTAAAGGTGGAAAAAGATAGTTGGAGGAATGACAGCAGCTGGTCTTGTCTTCGCAACAGAAATCTTGGCTGCCTCACTACTCCTGGTCCTCACCCCTCTTGGTCTTCCCGATGCACCATTTTCAAATTGGACTATCACTGGTCACTTCGAAAATACAGCTAGTGCATTACCTTATGTCTATAATGAAGGCTTCTTCATGTCTACTAGGGAAACACAATTCAGAAGGGAGTCTTGGCACTTCTCTGTTGCACAGTTTATAAGACTCTTGCCAGTCAAGCCCTAAGTCCATTTAGGAAACACTCATTGAGTAGCTCTTGTACATGTAGCAGCAGACACACCAAAGCAGACACGCCTAGGACCTAGGAGTAAGGACAGTGGAGAGTTGAAATTAGGGAGATACTCAGTAGAAAGTGGTTAGTGGGTACTCAAGTAGTAAGTGATCTGGTGCTCTAAAAAGGGACAAAGAAATTACATGTTATGGAGGCTCTACAGTGACACATGGTGTGACAAGGAAGTAAGAGAAAACTGAGGCTGGAGGTCAGAGAATGGATTCTGGGTCAGGAGCCCCTCTGTGCTTTCTACTCCTTTTCTTTTGATATCTTCCATTCTGAACTGAGGGCTGTCCTAAAATTCACCATCATCACCCTTCACCAGGTCCTAAACACAGCCTGAAATCTATGTTTTCTTTAGTAACAATTTCATACTTTCTTTATTCCTCTTGAATTCTCATTACAAAAGTGGTCTTATCACAAACTTTGTGCTTGGAATAGATGTGGTCATACAGACTTTGGCTTCCTGTTACCATATCCGTGTGTCTTCTGGATTAGGAGTTCTTTAAGGCCTTTGCCTTGGCCTTCTTTTCTTCCTTTTGGTCTTTCCTCTGTTCATATTATGCCCTGTCACAGCTTCAACTTCCAACTGTATACTGATGAATTCCTAGTGAACATTTTCAATGCAAGCTGTCTTGCCTGAGCTCCATACCTGTATATTCAACACCATATCAGACATCTTTACTTGAATGATTCATAGACTTTTCAAACTGAGTGAGTTCAAATTGAACACAATCTTTTCTCCCATGAGCCTTTGATACTTCCATTCGTCACAGTTTTCATTTATCTATTTGACTTTTGTGTCTCACTCTTATTTTATTATTTTTTTTCTTTTATTTATATGTGCATACGATGTTTCGGTAATTTCTCCCCCCTCCCCCCCCCATTCCCTCCTTTACCCCCCCACCTCCTCCCTCTTCCTCCCTACCCCCTTGGTACCAGGCAGAAACTATTTTGCCCTTATCTCTAATTTTGTTGAAGAGAGAGCATAAGCAATAATAGGAAGGACCAAGGGTTTTTGCTAGTTGAGATAAGGATAACTATACAGGGAGTTGACTTGCATTGCTTTCCTGTGCATGTGTGTTACCTTCTAAATTAATTCTTCTCAAACTAACCTTTTCTGTAGTTCCTGGTTCTCTTCTCCTATTGGCCTCTGTCGCTTTAGAGTATCTGCATTTGTGTCTCACTCTTCCTTAAATCCATGCTTGTCTCTCTCCCAATTATTCTTCAAGTAATAGAATGATGGCTTAGAAATTTAAATTTCATAAGGCAAATCCGTTGCTTACCACCTTCCAAAAGCTTCCTATTTCACTGGAATAAAGTAAAAAGTGTTTATTGCTGCCAGGAGAGCCATAAGGCCTGTGGACCTCCTCTTTATCTCCTACTTATCACACTCCAGCTACAAGGCCCTATCTCATCTCATGGACTTTGCACATTCCCCAGACATTCTTCTCCAAGCCCTCTTTGAAATCCTAGTCTGAATGTCCCTCAAGAAACTTCCTTGGTCTTAATCTTAGATTTCTTAGTTTGGTACTTACAACAATTATTTGTTTAATGTCTGTTTCCTCTTTCAGATTTAGTTTTACCTGAGAGCTGAGACTGTGTCTATCTTGTTACCTCTTGTGTCCCTAGTTCTTGATGTAGTGCTTAAGTAGGCACAGGTGAACATTTGTGGAATAAGTGAGTGACTGTTCCCAGTTTTACATTTTTTATCCCATTTATTTTCCCCCATTTTGCAATTTTTTACAAATGCCCATTGTGTACCTGGCACTGACCTAGATCTTGTGGAGGTGTGTAAGGTATAGTGATCCCATGTGACTGACTTAGCATTTTTCTTCTTACTCCCACCCCAAGAGGTTTGAAGTTGGAGAAAGGAGAGCTATGATGATCCAGGAAAATAAAAGTTTTGTTTTTTTTTTTCTGGAAAATGTGGGGGTGATATATTTTTATAAATCAATATTTAAATGTTTTAAATTTGGAATTTACTTATTAAACTAATTCCTTTCTTCTTCTTTTATTTTTTTTTTGGTTTGAATCAGGGCCTCAGGCACTCTACCACTTGAGCCACATTCCAGCTCTTAAACTAATTTCTAAAGATTATGTAGGAAAAATGTTTTAACATTCAGCTCTTCATAGCCTCTGATTGGTACATACATGCAGAAGAAGAAAGGTAGTAAACTTGTCAATATCAAGGATTTGATGAATTTTTTTTCCCCTCGATTAGGACATACTTCCTTTTACAGGAGATGGAAAAAATTAGTGTCTTATTTGTTCAAGGGCTACCCTTGTTGACTTTTTATCTTGAGGTCGATGAGTAAGTGTTGTCTTCTTAAGAGACTTCAAACATATACAACATTGTTTTCAAGGTTTTATCACGAAATAGATCCCATCTGCCAGATCAACAGATGAACTGAAACAAGGATGAGACATGTAAAATGGGCTTATGTGGTAACTACTCTCTTCCAAAGATGTGAGAATGAGGATTGTAATGCTAATCTCTATAATGAAAGTCACTGATCTGTGGGGAATGTCTTGAGAGTTAACTAGAAAAGGGCATCCCTTTGGAAGCAGTGTTAGCTGAAGATCTTAGCCCACTCCAGAGTCTTTTTTAAGGATGTCTTCTTAGTTTAATTGCGTAAAATATTTACATGCATTGTAGAGTAGAATTGGTCAGTGAAATTGTTATCTAAATTTGGCTTTGTTTCACACATTCCTTCCAGCTGATGTAGCTAGAACATATTGTTTTAAATACTATGAAATTTTCTCTCTTTTACAATGTGGAAGAAAGAAAAATGAGAGACTTCATCACAGTGGAGGGTGTTTCTAAATCTGGTGTTGTGAATCATTAGAATCCAGGGTTATGTACAGAGGGAGGTGGAGATAAACCTGCTAACATACACCACACCCAGAGACACTGATGTTAGGAATGTGTTTTTGTTTAGGAATATAGGTTCAGATTCTGTTAAGCATGTTTTCCCTGCTGTTTGGATCCATTCTTCCATTTTTGGCAACATGTGAATGGATTTAATTTTTGTTTGAAAATATTCTCACAACAAACTCATGTAAAAAGGAGAAGACGCTTATCTCAACCTGCATGAATCTTCTGTTTTCAGACGAAAATAATAATGAAGTGTTAGTGGGGAACGGTTAGCCAATAAAGTTTTGAAAATGACAAGAGACAAAGTTGTAATGAGTAACTCTTAGTTTTCCTTACCTACTGTCTAAAATCCATTTTTGAAAGTGAGTTCCTTCTATATCTAGTTAGTACAGTAAATCAATGGAATGGAAGTACAGTAAGTCAATAAACATGATTTGTTTTGCCCTAATATTGAGTTTCTTCTCAAGTTTCCTTTCTCAGTCTCTCTACCAGGGTCTCTTTTCAAAAACTCATTGAAGTGAGGTGTTGTAGCATACACCTGTAATCCCAACACTAGGAGGCAGTAGGATTGTGAGTTCCAGGCAAGTCTGGACTGCATAGCAACACCCACTCTTAAGGAAAAAAAAAAAAAAACCTAATTAACTTAGATTCATTAAAAGTCTGAGTCTTGTAGAGCATTTGAACTAAAATTAAAAACATTTCAAAGCAACTCAGTAGAGATTTATAATTATTACTTGCGTAAATGATACTTTTATGTGAGGCACATTTTTATGTTTTTAAATTAACAAAGTGGCCAGAGAGCTGTAATGGGCACAAAATTTTTCATATTTTATACCTATTTCATGGCTTAAACTTTTCCAGAAATATTTTATGCCTGTAAAGGAGAGTATCCTTTAGTTATATTGAGAGATAAAATATGTGATGCCAGTAAGTATTATCGGAAGTCCAGTGGGGCAGGGAGATTATACTGTTGCCTTTTGCATATCCTGAACTCTTTGTGGCAACATGTGAAGCAATGACGTAGGGAGCGTCATGTGGTCCTTTGACACTTCAGGGAAAATTTAGTGAATTTTTAGAGGTCCTATCTGGTCAGGAGCCAACATTCACCCAGTTTTTCACTTGGTGGTCAATATGGAACTCGTTCTTTGGTGATAGAATGTGAAGAGAAGTTGGCATAATCTCACAGCTTTGGCAGTTTCCTTGAATTTGAGCAGAGGAAAACCAAAAACCCAAGAATGTGGTTGATTTCACTCATTCTATTGATCCAGTGGAGCTTACTCTGCCAAGACTCTGGTTGAAGTTTTCAGAGAATGGTGAGGCCAAGCTTCATGGCAGAGGCAGAGGGGAGCAGGGGCGATGTGTTCAGCAGAACCAGGTTGTGGCAGAGCCTTCATTGCTGTGCTAAGGATTACTCAGGCTTGGCCTTCGAAGCAGTCAGAGAGCCATTAATGCTGTTAGCAAGGGATTTTAGAAATATTAATCTGGAAGTAGAAACTTGTGATTTGGTT